ATGTCTTGGTGATTTTCTTTTGGAGTCTATCTTCTTTGGGGTTCGTTGGACCTCCTGAATGGATATGTTCTTATCTTTCATTGTACCAGGAAAATTCTCTTCCAACAAATCTTCGACAATTTTCTCTATGGTTTTATTTGTCTCTTCCTCTTCTGGAATTCTGATTACACATAGGTTATTCCTTTTGGTAGTATCTTACATGGACCTTAGGCTTTCTTCATTTTGTTTTGAGCTTTTTTCTGATTGATCCCTTTCCAAAGAAGTAAGTGTTCAGGTATTTGCCTTCAGTCTCACCAATTCTGTTTTCCGTTGATTCAATTCTGCTCCTTTGCCCATTCAGTGCCTTATCTATTTCTGAAAATTTAGTGTTAATCTTCTTGATTTCTCTGTGTAGATTTTGTATCATTTATAATTTTTCATTTATTTTGTCATTTTGTTCTTGTATTGTCTTTAGAAATTTTTCTAGGTTTTTCTCTGTTTTTTCCTTGATCTGTCTCTCAATTCGTTGAAGGTACCTAAATATAATTCTTTTGAATTCCTTATCAGGGAATTCCAATGCTGTGTGTTCCTCAGGGATATGTTTTAGGTCTGTATCCTTGTCCCTTGTTTCTCCTGCTTTATCTTGCTTCTTTGTGTGGACTGTGATGCTCTGTTGTCTCTGTGGCATTGTAACAGTTTTTGTGTTTATATTTAATTAGTGATTGTATTTTGCCCACGATTTTTGTTTTCTTTGTATGTTATCTATGCAAACAGGGTACTGTGGTATGCTCCTCTATTCACTTGTTGATGGCAGTTATACATTCACTGCCTGTCTCCTTTCCTGTCATCAGCCTCTTGTATGTCCCTGCAGACCTGGTCAAACAGAGCCTGTTTCTAGGTCCCTGGAATCTGAATGAGAATGCTATCACTTCAAAATCCAAAATGGTTGCCACTTGTGAAGATTCAAAATGGCCGCACCCTCGGTCACTTTAAATATCCAAAATCGGTGCTGCTTGTAAACAATCAAAATGACTGCACCCTCCGGACAGTGGAAAGTCAACAGCTTACGTTGTTTCCTTCCTTGCTGTTTCTTTTCTTAGTCATAGGCCACAGCGCAGTTGTCCCTGCAGCCCTTGGTGACCAGGACTGATCTTTAGGTCAATTCTCAGGTCCCAACACCACTTGGAAATATTCAGGCTGTTGGTCCTGTCAGGGTAGCTGACCGTCTGCAGCTCTGACCATCTTTGTACTCATTGTTTTTGTTCAGGTTTTTCCACTGTTTGGTGCCTAATCCACTTCCGTATAATTCCTTTAAAGCTCAGGGCTCCAGGATTATCTGTAATTGTTTTTTCTTTTCTTTGTTGACGAGGCTCTGTGTTGCTTGTCTGCCTATTCCTCCCTCTTACTGGAAGTCCTCCTCTTCAAATATTTTTTGATGAGATATTTCTAATACTTTTCTGGAAAAAGGCACCTTGGAAGTTACATTAACCTTGCCCTTGCTTCTTTCAATAGTCCAGACCCTCCACCAAGATTACCAGCTTTCCCATTAACTTTGATTCTTTCTTGAAGAAACTGCTCAAAATTGGCAGCATCCATGATTACATCTTCTACAGGGTGGGTGCAGTCAAAGGGGAACTTCAGAACCTGCTTCTTTTCTTTGCTCCCCTTTTGTCACAAGTTTTTTCATAGGTACCATGGCCGCAGCTGAGGCAGAAAAGCTCTTCTTGCCTTGTGAGCTTTTGGTCTCCTGTGGTTAATTGCTCTGAAGTATATGTTCTTCATGCTGTTACTGTTTACTTTATAGGCTTTTCTCTTGTTTGGCTGAAAGGTGATAACTGTGGATGGATTTAGGTCTAATGTTAAAAACCTGTTTTCAATAAAGATTACTTTTGTTAATTTACTGATTTTAATGATGAGTATCACATTTTAGAAAAGCCACTTTTTTTTTTTTTTTTGATTTGGGTGAAGATTTACAGAGCAAATGAAAAGCCACTTAATGGCTAAACTTGCCATTATATTTTGTATGCTTAAGGTAGCTTTATGCTTTTTGTTTCTCCCTTATACAACTATATGTTTTTTGAGTTATTTTTAAATTGATTTGATAGGATGAAAGGTCTTTTTGGTATCCTGTTTTAAGCCATTGAAATTGATATGAGTCAGGTCTTCAATTGATTGGATTCATGTTTGATATAAGAAAGTTTGTAGTTTGCAATGCCTGGTACATAGTAAGGGGCTCTGGTGGCACAGTGGTTAAAGCATTTGGCTGCTAACCAAAAGTCAGCAGTTCGAACCTACCAGCAGCTCCATGGGAGAAAGATGAGACCATCTGCTTCTGTAAAGATTTACAGCCTTGGAAACCCTATGGGGCGGTTCTACTCTGTCCTGTAGTGTTGCTGTAGGTCAGAATAGACTCAGTGGCAGTGGGTTTGGTTTTTGGGTTGGCACATAGTAGGCACAGCTGTTCAGTCTTTTCTTGAATGAATTGAATGAGTGACTTTTAAAATAATTCTTATTTGTATTTGGGGGAAAAAACCAGAAGATTAGAACGGATTTCTTTGATATGTTCAACTTCTACAATTTGTTTATTAAAAGGATGTTTATATTTGTTTTATTTTACTATGTAATGTCCTTTTGAGAATTACCTTTATATATGCATATATATATATATATATATATATATAAAGATGATCAATGACATGAGTCAAAGTATATGTGACCTGCTGTATGGAAAGTGAATTTGCTCTGTAAATCTTCACCCAAATCACAATTAAGGAAAAAAAAAAGAAAAGTGATGTGAGAAAGGGTGTGGAGGCAGCATCTTCGGATCTCCAGCCTCATGAGGAGGAGACAGAATCACCATCAGCAGCCCAAGGCTTATTCCTGTGAGGCCAGACATGCCACTGCCCTCCAACCATTCTTACCAACTCTGACACCAGCCGTCTTTCCCTGGCACTGACTACTTCTCTACTGGGTTCAATAATTCATTGCAGTGGCATCACAGAACTCACAGATAATACGTGTATGGGCTGTATTAGGGAAGTGACAGGCTACAACTCAGGAATGCTCTCAGGATACAATTCTTCGATCAGGACAGTCTCTCCTCTATTGTGCCCTCAGGCATGCCTCCCTGGCCTTTGCCCTCTCAGCCTGGCCTCTGCCCTGCTTGGGCAAGTGTTAACAAAGCTCTTTTAGCTCTGCTGATAGGTACGCCTAGGTGCACTCCACCAGCAAGCCTCCTGACCAAAGACACTCACCTTTCTCATTCTGAGGGCTGGAAAGCCCACCACTCTTCCTCAGACAGTTGTCTCAGTTGGTCATCTCTGCTTTCTTTCTGTGAAGGCGGTCCAATGCAGGGATCCTGGGTCTAAGGAGATTTTGGGTCCGAGGACGTGCTCTACTCCAACTCGGGTTCGTCTCTCTCGATGACAGTGAAATCCCCCCTTTCTGTCTTGAAGAGGGCTCATTTTAAGCCCAGCAGCAGAGCAAAACTAAAGTCCTTTCGCAAAAGCACAAAGTTTCGAAGTCAGATTTGGTTTCATGTTTTGGCTTTGCTACTTATTAGGAAAACCCCTCCAAGATTCAGCCTTCAGTATGAATTATAGCTGAACATTAAAAAAAACTGAAGCCCTCAGGAGTGGACAGATAAGCAACATCATGATAAAAGCAGAAATTACTGAATTTATATTTCATTTTACTTGAATCCACAGTCAATACCCATGGAAGCAACAGTCAAAAACTCAAGTGATATATTGCATTGGGAAGATATGCTGCAAAAGACTTCTTTAAAATGTTGAAAAGTAAAGATGTCACATTGAGAATTCAAGGTGCATCATACCTGAGTCATGGTATTGTTAACTGCCTTATACACAAGTGAAAGCTAGACAGTGAATAAGGAAGATGGAAGAAGATTTAATGCCTTTGAATTATGCTGTTAGTGAAGAATATTGAATATACTGTGGATCCCAGAAGAATGAACAAATCTGTCTTGGAGGTGGGATAGTCAGAATGCTCCATAGAAGCGAGGAGGGTGGCGAGTCTTTGTCTCACGTACTTTGGACATATTATTGAGGGACCGGTCTCTGGAGAAGGATGTCATGCTTGGTAAAGTAGAGGGTCAGTGGAAAAGAGGAAGACCCTCGACAAGGTAGGTTGGCACAGGGCTGCAACGATGAGCTCAAACGTAGCAATGATTGTGAGGATGGGGAGGACTGGGCAGTGTTTTGTTGTGTTGTACATAGGGTCACTATGAATCAGAATCAGTTTAATGGCACTTCACAACAACATGTTCCTGTATAAAAGCATATTGTGAATCTAAGTTGATAAGCAGGGCAAAAAAGGGCTGAGATGAAACTGGTTATTAGAGGAATTAGACCAGATAATTCAGGGCTGGTTAGGTAGGTGTAGGGAAACATGGACGAGAAATATGCAGTGCACTGGGGTTGAGTTAGAACTGACTCAAAGCGACCCCTCCTTGGGTTTCCGAGGCAATAAAGCTACAGAAGTATATTGCCCAACCTTCCTTCCGAGGAGTGGCTGGTGGGTTTGAACCTCCAGCCTTCTGGTTAGCAGTCAGATGCCTTAGGCACTACGCCACCAGAGCTCCCTGGAAAATAAATAACCAATAATAATAATAATACGAAATTCAAACTAGTTGCTGTTGAGTCGATTCTGACAAATGGTGACCATATTTTCCCTGTGCTCTGTGTTTTAGTGGCTGTGATATTTTGGAAGTGGATTGCCAAGCCTTTCTTGTGAGGTGCCTCTGGGTAGATTTTAACCACCACGTTTTTGGTTAGGAGCCAAGCAGTTACTTGTTTGCACCACCCAGATACTTCTCTAAATAGTAATCGCTACCATTTATTTGGAGTCCTCTTGGTGGTACAAGCGGTTAATGAGGTTTTTGGTTGTGCATGAGTAGCCTCAGCAGGTATTCTTTTTTTTGTTGTTGTTGTAAATATATCATACAACTTTTGCCAATTCAGCTTTTTACAGATGTACAACTTTTTGACAGCAATTCCAGTAATCTGCTTTGCAACCCTACTCTTAATCAATGAGATTTTTCCATCAATGTTAACCCCCTTTTCCCCTGCCTCCCACCCCTGGTAACCACTAATGAACTTTAGTCTCTATCCATTTGTCCTTCTCTTGTCTTTTTATATAAAAGGTCATACAGTATTTGTCCTTTTCCTGTTGACCTACTTCACTCAGCATAATCTCTTCAAGCTCCATCCATGTTCTAGTATTAATCAATACTTCCTTTGTTTCTTCTTCTGACTGAGTAGTAGTCCATCATGTGTATGTACCACATTTTGTTTATCCGTTCATCTGTTGATGGGCATTTAGGTTGTTTTCACTTTTTACCTAATGTGAATAGTATTGCAGTGAACACTGGTATACAAGCCTCTGTTTGAGTCTGTGCTTTCAAGTCTTTTGAGTATGTACCCAGGAGCGGAATTGCTGAAAGATGTTGCTTTAAAGACTAAGGTGTGCCTGACCCAAGCCATGGTATTTTCAGTCGCCTCAGATGAATGCCAAAACTGAAAAATGAATAAGGAGCACTGAAGAATAGATGGATTTGAATTGTGTGAAGAATATTGAATATGCCATGGATACAAGAAGAATGAACAAATCAATCTTAGGACTGCTGGACTGCTCCTTAGAAGTGAGGATGGCAAGACTTCGTCTTTCATACTTTGGTCATGGTATCAGGAGGAATCATTCCCTGGAGAAGGACATGCTTGGTAATAAAGCAGAGAGTAAGTGAAAAAGAGGAAGACCTTCAGTGAGGTGGATTGCCTCAGTGGCTGAACAGTGGGCTCAAACATAGCAACAATTTTGAGGATGGCAGTATTTCATTCTGTTTAAATAGGGTCACTACGAATTAGAACCAACTCAATGGCACCTAACAACAACATGATAATTCTATTTGTAGTTTTTTTTTTTTGAGGAACTGCCACACTGTTTTCCACTGTAGCTATACCATTTTGCATTCCTACCAGCAATGGATATAAGGGTTCTAATTTCCCTACATCCTTGCCAACATGTTACTTTATTTTTTTAAATCTTAGCCATCCTTCTTCTTCTTGTTATGTGCCATCGAGTTGGACCCAACTCATAGTGACCCCTCCTTGGGTTTCCGAGGCAGTATCACTACGGAAGTAGATTGCCCCATCTTCCTTCCGAGGAGTGGCTGGTGGCTTTGAAGCGCCAGCCTTCTGGTTATTAGTCAAGTGCCTTAGGCACTATGCTACCAGAGCTCCCATGGAAATGAAATTGTATCTCATTGTGGTTTTGATTTGCTTTCTGATGGCTAATGACATTGAATATCTTTTCATGTGTTTGGTGGCCATTTGAATGTTCTCTCTGGTGAAATGTTTGTTCAGGTCCTTTGCTCATTTTATGATTGGCTTATTTGTCTTTCTCCTGTTGTTGAAATTTTAGATATATTTTGGTTATTAGATTGTTATTGGATATAGAGTTTCTACAGGTACTCTCCCAGTTGGTAGCTTGTCTTTTCATTTTTTTGGTAAAGTCTTTTGATGAATCAAAGTTTTTAATTTTTATGAGGTCCTATTTATTTGTCTTTTGCTGTTTGT